TTTTCCATTTTCAGGATTCCAGCATCCGCAGGATTAAGCTTTTGTAGTGGGGCTTGCAGGATGTTGGAGCACATGCTCACTGGCGCACAAAGTGACAACTGACCACGAGTAGGCTTCGGGGCTGTCCCTGCTACTCAGTCAGGCCCTGATCTAGTCAGTCACCTCCTGCCGACTTTCTGAAGTCAACGTCGATCCCATGCAATGGGGGAAGGTTTTCAGGGATTATCCAAGGGAAGGGGGTTCACTTCATTAACGCCAGCTTTGTCCTTTGCAGCCAGCTTCTCCCACCTGTGCAACATAACACGATGGGTTCCGAACGTGCGGCCAGGCCGAGGGGTGGATCAGAGGCAGAACGAACAGATGGACGTTTCACAGAGCAGCAACGGTGAGTCTCTGCCCCTCTGCAACCTCGCTAAGCCAACTTGCGTTGATATAGCGCCTTCACTGCAGCAAAACCTCTCATAGTGCCTCGCCAGACTTGCACAAACAAAATTTGAATCTGAGCTACGTGTAGGGATGAAGACTGCTGACCAAAGGTTTAGTCGAGGAGGTAGGTTTTAAGAAGGATCTTAAAAGAGGGTGAAGAGAGACAGAGAGGTTTCCCGAGGGTATTCTAAAGCGCGAGTACTTGAGCAGCTGAAGGCATGGCTACCAATGGTGCAGTGAAAGTTGGGGAAGCTCAAGAGGTCAGAATTAGGCGAGTGCGGAGATCTCAGGAAGTTGAGAGGCTGGAGGAAGTTAATTTCAAATTAAGTCTTATTACAGATCTGGCTGACCATGCATCACGACCCTTCAGTCATTCGATCTGTCCCATAATTAAATACTCCAATTTCAGCGAATGCTGCAGAGCTTCCACCAAATCAGCACCAGCTCTTTCCCTCCTCAATGATGCCCCAGTACTGTAAGTGGTTTTCAGTATTGACTAAATATCTCTCTGACTCCATGTGGGACTGAGCTGAGCAGACCAGTCAGGCCCAAGCTGTTGGGGTGACCAGTCCTGGGCAAGGTGCTGGTTGGCAGGGGAGCAGGCTGCTTGAGGCTGCAGGAAGTTGCTGAGTGGACGTCGATTTGCATCCAGAACATGGCCAAAGCTACCCAGAGCCTTAAAACAGCCCTCGGCCCTGTGAGCATTCATGGTGCCTCAATCCTCTGGTGGGTTTCTATCTGAGCGCAGCTCTATTTGGACCGAATTTCACATGGGGGATCTGGGCTCAGGGACTTGAGCTACCTTGGGAAATTCCCTTGATGCCCTTCCCATCAGCACAAAGAGGTTTCCTGCCGTAATCCCAAATGTGTGGGCATCCAAGGTCCAGATGTAGTAGCAGCAGCTACCAAAACTGGAGGTTAATGCTTCGACACACCAATGTGTGAGAACCCTCAGAGTGACTGTATGGCCGCACAGCTTAGGGACAATACTGGTTTCCTGAATGGGCTGCTGCTATATGCCTTGCCTTCGTATGCCATTGGGACATCAGCTGGAGTTCCACCTCCAAAGTTAACATAGGCCCATAACGGGATGCACTCTTGGCAGGAGTCCCTCATCCTTAGCGTCAGGAACCTGGGATGGAGAGTGATGCATGCGGATGCCTTCCTTTCCAAGGAAAACTTCCCTTGTAACGTTCAGTGACACCCTCCCCCAGCCCCTGATTCCCAGTGATTATCTGTGGTGCTAAAAGGTGTTCAGTCACAGCCATTGCTCTGCGGGGCTTCTCTGACTTATTTGCCTCTGTGCAGATAACAGTTCTGATGATGACTCCGACGAATGCTCCTGCCGACATGGAAGGTGTGTCCGGGGACGAAACAGGTGTGAATGTTATAAAGGCTTCCAGCTGGACAGCAGTGGGAAATGCAGAGGTGTGTATAACAGATACATAACAGCACTTGTGAAAATGAAGTTTGCTTGTTTTATCTAAATTTACAATGGACGTAGCATTTTTTTCAGAGTCAGGTATCAAATGAAATTATTAAAATACCTGAAAGGCGGTGGATACTAAGAATGCATAGTACACCATTCCATCAAACTAACCCAGGACAGGGATAGCAGTGTGAGATACATTTAGCAGGAGTTTTATTTTGCACGAATTAAGAGAAGTAGGTCACTTGGCCCGTTGACCCTACTGTGTCACTCAATAAGATCATGGCTGATCCGATTACACATTTCTGCCTAACCCCCTTTCACCCCTTTTGTTTATCAGTAATCTACCTCTACCTTAAAAATATTCATACATTCTGCTTACGTCACCTTTTTAAGGACGTGTGATTTCTAAACAGCAACCCTTAGTTCTCGCACAAGGTCCACACCCATCTTGTCAAAACCCTTCAGCATCTTATACGCTTCAATCAAATCACCTCCTGCTCCAAACTTGATGATTCAAGCCCAGCCTACTTTTTCCTTGTAAGACAACCTACCTATTCCAGATACTAGTCTAGTAAACGGCTGAACTGCTTCCAAAACATTTGCATTCTTTCTTAAATAAGGAGACCAATACTATGTTATAATACTCCCGATGTGGCCCCAGTAAAACTGAAGTATAACCTTCCTACTTTACTCAATTCTCCTCTCAACAGCCAGTAATTACTATTAGCTTTCCAATTGCTTGGCGTACCTGCAATCTTTGGCGATTCAAGCACTAGATTAATAACTGGAATGGGCAGGTTATCTCGTGAGAAAAGATTGAACAGACTAGATTTACAACCATCCAAGCTTAGGAGAGCAAAATTGATGTGGAGAGACGATAGGAGAAAGTAGAATCAGAGGGTCACCTGTTTAAGACAGAGATAAGAATCTTTGGAACACTCTTCCTCAAAAGCCAGCAGAGGCAGAATCTGAAAATATTTTTTAAGGCAGAGGTATACAGACACTTGGTAATCAAGGGGATGAGAGGTTAGTTGGTATATGCTACAGAATGGCAGAACTGATTTTGAAGAGCTGAATGGCCTACTCTTGTTCCTAATGCTTATGTTTGTGTGCCACAATAATGTTTCACAATTGCCAACTCCAGAAGAGGGTGCCCCAAAGCAAGATTAGATTAACACAGCCTGGACCCCATTTCACGTGGAATCCTTAAAGGCACTAGAGGGGTCTTTGGCTAGGATTCGATCCTGATTTTGAGCTGAAAGCCCAGAGTCACACCACAACTGCATCCCCCATGGCAGTGGTAATGGCCTAGTGGTATTTTGCTGGACCGTTAATCCAGAGACCCAGATAATGTTCTGGGGACCCCGGTTCAAATTCCGCCACGGCAGATGGTGGAATGTGAATTCAGCAGAAAAATCTGGAAGTAAGAATCTAATAATGCCCGTGAATCCATTGTCGATTCTTGGGAAAAATCCATCTGGTTCTCTAATGTCCTTAACTGGTCTGGCCTGCATGTGACTAAACCCACAATAACGTGGCTGATTCTTAACTGCCCTCTGGGTAATTAGGGATGGACAATAAATAAATGCTGGCCTAGCTATCGGCAGCCTCAAGCCTTGAATGAAATTTTAAAAACCCACACATATACACACCCTTTGCCGCAGTTGTTTAAATTCTGATCAGAATATAAACGGTTTCCTCTCCATCCAGTGGTGTTAATATTTTACGGGATTTAAAGCCATTGTTTTAGTTTCCCCATCACTAAATCACGTGTGGCAACCATTCAGTTGTATGCAAGAGCACTTCCACACTATTGGAATACTCAATAACTAAAGTCCTAGTAGACCATCAAAGGATGGTTTTCCACTCCATCTAATCCTGCACCATCAGGAAATATAGTTTTAAAAGATTATGGACTGGAGGGGAATTTATTCACCCACTGTTTATAGAGTACGGTTTGCAGTGTAGTCCCTGTCACTCACTTAATTGCTCTTTGGCTCCCAGATATCAATGAATGCCGTGAGATACATCGCAAACGGTTCCCGTGCAAGAATGCACGTTGCATAAATACCAATGGATCGTACCGGTGTACCTGCTACCAGGGTTTTGTGCCCACAAGGCGCCACAACATCTGCATACGCCGGAAGATGAGTTAGGCCGCAGTGCGGACAATGCATCAACGAAAGAAAGATTACCCTCGTCGTCCATATTTTGGCCTGCCAATCCTCAAAAGGAAATACTTATCAAACATTAACATTGAAAATACCTGTTTAATTTTTGGAAACACCTATTTAAATATTCTGAAAAAAAATGGGTAAGACACCTGATTTAACTGTTATCCCATCTCATACCTACAAGTTGGTGGAGTTTAATTGTCCAATTTGTCTTTTATATTGATTTGTGTTTTCTAAAAAAAAAGTGGGAAGATTTGACACACTCAATATGGCGGCTACTTTGAAAACACAGACACTATTGTCTATAGGATAAACCAAAGAACTGCTGGACCCTCATTGTGGCGACATGTATCTTTATCTCGAGGAGATTTAAACATGCAGGCACTCGTCAACAAGAAAGAGAATTTGTGACTGGCAACTTCAGTATGATGGCAGCAGGTGTAATTACATCAGCTGCCATATTGAGTGTACCAACAGCTATTGGAACATAGAGCTGGAGTGGGATCTGCCTGGAAGCCACCACTTCAGCCTGAACTGCGATGTAGATAATTAATAAAAGAAATGAACTTAACAGCCAACCAGTTGATATGCAGCTCTAAGGTACTTCCTGAATAAATTTTAACACGCAAAGTAGAAATTAATCTAGGTTTATTAGATTTGAGGGGTCTGGACAGAATAGAAGGGAAAAACAGTTTGCATTGGAGGTAGGATCAAGAACATGAGGGTACATATTTGAGGTGATTGGCTGAAGGAATATTGATGACAAAAAAATCTTTACATGCAATTAGGATCTGAAATACACTGCTTGAGTGGTGGAGGTTCAATTGAAGTCTTCAGGATAGAACTGAATAATTATTTGAAAAGGAAGGATATGCAGGGCTGTGGGAAGTGGCACTAGGTGAACTGAATTCTTTGGAAAACCAGCAGACATGTCATTGTGTGCTGTAACAATTGAGAGAATTGACAAAATAGCCAGTCATTTCATAATCAAAGCCAAGTTTCTTACTTCACGTGGCATTCAACCTGCCAAGTATATTGGCATTCACACAAAATTACCCCCAAAACTTACCAGCAACTTAGGATTCCATCTGCCCCGAGTTCAACTGTTCCCTACAGTGCCTGTGCTGTCTTGTAAGTCTATGGTCTAAAGCACAGTCAAGAGGAATACAGAGTTGGATATGGCAGAGAATATGGAATTATAACATCACACAAGGAGCTGCTGAAGGTGCACATGCATGCTCCATTAAGCCTACTCCAAAATTCTCTGGACGGTTTCAGGCACTATTTGACAAAGATACAACACAGCAGCAAAAGGCTATTTACACAGTGAAATAAGCAACAGCTTCAATGGGATCCATCGATAAAGAAGGTAACTGAAAAGGTGCAAAGGAGAAAGACCGGAAGCAAGAAAAGTTATTCACTCATCTGTCTTTTGTAATCTCCTGCCCGATAAAGGTAATAAAGGAAACCCAGTAATAGCATTCCCTTTCTAAGTTTATTTTAAAATACTTTAACACATCTTCTGCACTGGAAAGGATGGATTTGAAATTCCTACCGCCCCCTTTAGACTGGTCTTTATCTAGAAAGCAGAAAAAAAAGCTTCTCTCACCTAGTCTTTGTAATTTTTGGATCTGCAGATGCTATCACCCAGCCCTGTACCCAGCATCCCAGCAGGAGTCTGAGCCTTCAGGACCAAAACAAATTACTATCAATAGACAGAGTACAACTCCATGGTGCTTACCTAAATAACCAGTGGCAAAAATGTCAGAGAGTATGAACCATGTTGCTCAAAGTCCAAATAAATCCAAGCCATCCCCATTCTCCTTTCCTATACAGATGTGGATGGACCCAATTCCTTCCCAGTTACTCCCACTGTACACAATCCCAGTGGACTAAATCCCTTCTGTTTTAGGAGCAAAATACTGCAGATGCTGGAATCTGTACCAAAAACAAAAAAAGTTGCTAGAAATCACGACAGGTCAGGCAGCATCCATGGAGAGACAGTAGGCTAATGTTTTAAGTCGAGTTGATACCTCATCAGAATTAACAGTGCAGAGAGTCAACTAGTAGTTTCTGTGCTCCCAGGCTACAGCCTATGACCTCTGAATCCAGGTTATTGTGACCATCCTTATCTAAACACAACTTCCCCACCAGCAGAGAATTACAGCAGTTTTTGATGGAAAATTAATCTGCACCATGCCCTCTCCATGGTGCTGAATGTTACAGTACCAAGAGGATATGATTTCCTTTCTCCGAACTCCCATCATGAAGGTGCTGACAGCTTCAGGGATGCAGTGCCAGACCCTAGTCAATTCTTCACACGTGATCGGCTATGCATCTTTGCAGGCTATTCAACAGTGAGGGCACCACAGCCACATCTATTCTGCAGGGTGATCCCTGCACTTATTCAGGAGGAGTCACTGACTGAGACAGGGAACAGGAATACTCGGTGATTCTCCCATCCCTGGACTGGAGCATTGGAACAGCGTAGGGATCATTCTTGAGAGACTGTGCACTTCAAGAAAAGTAACTCAAACGAAATAAGAATTAAGAGCAGCCTATGTGTCAAATATTTATTTTAATAGATGTCTTATTTTTTAAAGCTTCAATAGATTTGAAATAAACATTTTATTCCACACGATCTCCATGGTTTAGTGCTTAGGACTCCAATTCAGAGTCGGTCCGGTTTTTAAAAAGTGCTGTACAATTGCAAGCAGTATCCACAGTTGAGCTCTGCCATGTAACTCAAATTCATAAAGCACCATTTGGATACAGGCTCTGACTAGTATCTTTAATTACTCTGCAGTTCATGCCATGCGCAGATTTGAATCTTAGTGCACAGTAGGTCACCAAAAGTAAAGAGAAAGTGCTAAAATATCCTCTTGGTTTCACCACTCACGAATTTTACGAGCAATCCGGAAAGGAGGCAGAGGGTGGGGGGTGGGGCAAGCTTCTGTTTAACTGGCCTCCCCAAAGCCAGCTGTTTTGCCAAACTTTGCTCCCTCTCGAAGCACAAGTGGGAATCTGATTTGTTCATGGTCTTTTAAACTTTGGCAATCATTTTGCCATACTCCATAATGAAGTTACACTGAGTTTTCTTGGTGCCAGTCTTCCATGTAAACCCTGGAGAGAAGGCTGCTTATCAAAAAATACTTTTCGTTTTATGTAAATCGATATATAACTTTTTTGCTAGAATAAGCTCTTCCTCGATGGTAGAGGTTTCTTGTCAAAAGGTCATGCCTTGTGGATAGAATATTTCCCTTTCTGAAGCTGGCTGACGTACAATTTGGTTTTGCTGCCATCTAACCTGCGGAGCCAAACCTCTCCCGTGCTGACAGCTGTAATTGTTGCACTAATGGGAGAAAAGAATTACATTTGTCAATAATATTATCAAACATGATGATCAGATCAGTTTAACAGGCTTTAAAATCTGTAGTTACTTAGGATTAAAATGCAATACCCAAAATATAGCCCAATCCCACTAGGGCAGAAGGTCCATTGATCAATTCAATCTAAAACCCAAACTGTCCTATCAGGTTTGGTTCATAGCAATCGTGAAGGCCTCTGTTTTAAGTGCCAACACATGGTGGGTTACAGCTCTACAAAAAAAAAAACAATCGAACCTCCAGAACCACAATGCACACAATGAGTGTTGACAGGTAATGCCACTGTGGAGAGCATCTCAGTCCACCCTTATCCTGTCCCTCATTCACATGAATCTTCTAGAGGCTGGTGGGTTGCATCCAACTGCAGTGCTTCAACTGTTAAGCTATTGAAACTGGGACTTTCAGACCCAGGAAACAGAAACACAGGGCATCTGGTTCACTTCAAGCCCCATCAACCTGTGCTGTAAACAATGCATGCAGAGCTGTATTCAATGGGCAGTGTTGATACAAAGACTCAGTCCTCTGAGCTGAAAGAGGTTTTATATTGACATACAGCAAATTCATCAAGCACCATTACTAAAAATAACATATTTGATTGCCAAAGACCTCTTGGTATCCCTCAGTGAAGCAGCTGGGAACTGCATTGCCAATGTGGAGACAAACCTTCAGTCAAGTTAGTTCATCTCCACGTGGTGACAGCTTAACCATTACAATTGCCATCAGTGGGCCCTGGGTTAGTGATGGATGAAATCAGGGGTACGGACAGGATCTCTCTCAGCTACCCCTCTACGTGGATATGTTTTCTGACAGTGTGCAGCTTCACACATGTAGAATTAAGCATCCTTATACAGGGTATTTCTGCAATGATGCGTGTTTCATTAACGCGAATTAGCTGTACCACAACTGATGAATAGTGGATGCTGTTTGGATAATGCGAACTTTCTACTGTACAGTACAGCGATTTCCTTATAACGCAATTTTCTATAGCGTGAGGTTGCACAAGAATGCAACTATCGAGTTATAGGAGAACTACCTGTATTCAATGTGAGGGTTGAGAAGAAAGTGAGAAAAACAAACAGATGTACAGAATGCAGGAGTGCTTACTGTGAGGGTGCTTCATCCTTTATCTCCAGTATGATGCTTTGCCCCTTGCTGTACCAGTCTCCCTCATAGAATAATCTTCCATCTTCACACTTAGCCAAGTACAAATGTTTCTCTTGTTTAGGTAGAGCTGTGGACAGAACAGACTTTAAATTCTTCTATTCTCCACCTCTCTTAATCTGTATTTCCTCCGATTCTTTCCTTCTTTTAATTTTTGCTACGGATTAACTTTGGTTACCAAGCAAAATGAGTGACAGCCAAAATCAATGCATTAGTAACCATTACAGCCTGTCTGGTTCATTGGCGATGGCTCTTCCCATTTGTTAACAGGATAGCATTTCGGAATCGGATCAGAAATTCCTTGGCACACTTTCTGTGTGCTTTTAAGATGTGAAAGATTCCTATTATAACTGACAGATTCCCAAAAACTCTACACTGAAAAGCAGTTTGTACTTACTGTGACACACAGAGAGCAGTATTGATAGGGAAAGACGACTCCTCTGTTTTTTGGACATTAGGTAGAGACTGGGTCTCATTCAACTTTGATCCCTAATATACAGTAAGTTTGTGCTAACATGGGGGTTGCCCATTGCAATGGCAGCATTGCAAAATGGACGCCGGATTATCGGCGTGGTGGAAAATTAGGAAAATAATCTGTCCTTAATTCAACATGACACTGCCAATCTTAAAGAGATACTTGACAAGGAAAAGGAAATCAGGTCAGACAGGGCAGGCCAGCCAAGTTTCACAACAGTGTTTTTAATTAAAGGGAGAAAGGAATTGTGGAATAAATTCACAGGGAAGGACACGAGGACAGTGAAGACAGTTTAAATGGGATCAAGAAAGCAACAAAATTGTTTCTGGACTGTGTTATTACAACTTGCAAGAAGGAACGTGACTACCTCATCTGAAGAATGTCACAAGAGTGTCACATCCAATTCTGAACTCTACACAAATAGACAAAACCAAGGGTAACTGGACTGAAAGGGTCCTGGGACAAACTAAGAATGTAGGGCTGGGCCTTGCAATGAGGAATTAAGTAGGGCAGGGTCAATCCACTCAAAGGTACAGACATGAGAGACTTCTGCCCTACTGTTCGTGAATGCTTAAGTTGGACTACCTTGAGACTCTGAAAAACAAAACGTTGGAAGAGAGGGAAGAGGCAGGCTGAAGAGCAAGTACAACGAGTACAAGAAAGAGGAGACAGAAAGCATATGCAAGGTGGAGATTGAGAAAAAAGCCCACCTGTGTCATTTATCACTTGAGATGAGGCCTTTGCCTTCTTACCGTGGGCTGCTTCAGTGTTTGTACCTGGAGAGCAAAACAGCTGAGTGAGATTTATGTGTAGTCACCTTTCCTCTACAACTTGTAGAAGCTTGGACTTTCCCAATTTCAAAGTCCCTGATATTGAGTTCTGTGAAGGACTAACTGCACAGACTTTCCAAGGCCCAATGAAACTGCTTCACTTACCATCTGATTTTCTCTTTTGCTGGGCCACAACTGCTTTTGCCTAAAAGAAGAGGAGATTCATTATGTACCTGCCACATCATTCTACTCAATGCACAACCTCAACTGCTTCTACCATCAACATCAAGACATGGGCCTACCCACAATCAAAAATGCCCTCCAACTAGAGAAATGCAGTTGGCAATGCACAAGTAAATTGACTCCATGACAGTATCTTTTTCGGTTGTCTGGCTGGGCACAAGAGAAAAAAGAAGGATACAATGGTGACACGGAGTTTCTGGAATTCATCAGGGCAGTAAAAGTTCCTAATAAACCTAAAAAGCCTCAAAATTAGGGCTACAACTTCTGCTACATTGCAATTTCAGCTCACTTGGTCACGTGCTTCACAACTGTGAACCCCACACCCACCTGAAGAGGGCACAGGTGTTCACAGTAAGCTTTTTTGCTGGTTCTGCACAACATCCTGTGGCAGGATGGCAAACTCAGCATCTCTGCACATGTAGAAAAAGCATCACTGAGATAACTGATCAGGAACTGCAATGGGACTGGAGTGGAATCCAAAATGTCCCAGTTCCTCTCAACACCATCCAAGAATATACACATTTCATGATCCTGCAGCAGTTGCTGGAAATCTATTCGAATTATCACAGGCAGGGCAGAATCAAATTTATAACAGGCGTTACAGCAAGGGAGACTCCTCATCAGTGGAACAGTCTTGTAAAACCCACCTCACCCAGTGATTCTGTATATTCTCCCGCACTGCTGAACTACACCACACGCCCTCCAAACCAAGACAGACCCTGGTCCTGCCCACTTAACGCATAAATCGCACAGAACTCTTCAAGACCTGGGCTGGAACAGAGAATGTGAAGATTTAGGAGCGCAGAGGGCGAGGAACTAGAGAGGGATGGGAAAGTGAGGACATCAAAACTTGGTAATCACAGAATGGATGGGGAGTGGAGAACGAGCATGGGTAAGTTGTCAGGGAGAGTGCAGCAAAACAGGAGCATGAAGAGAATAAGTACAGATTATAAAGCTGCTGGGGATAACTAGGAAAACGTGAAATAACAGAAGTCCAGGCAATTAAAAGCGTAACAGAAAAGGAAACATGCACAAGGAAATGGGAACAACTGCACAGAAAGGGAATTGAGTGGACGGGGAGCCAAGGTATTGCAGACAGTTGACAAAAAAGTATAGTGATCCACAGCACAGTTTACCTTTTTAATTGCAGCCCAGTCCTCCAAGATATCAATGTCTCGCAACATGTAGACAATGTACGGCCGTGCAACAATGTTAAGAAATTAAGACCAGATAGTATTAACCATTTAATGCTTAAGCTACTTACAATTCCCATTCCATCCCTTATCACGTTCAGAAAAAGGGGAATAGTTGTCCAGTTAAAGGGACGTAATTGTCCCTCAAGAACACCAGCTACAGGGTCATTTTTACAGCAGCCTTGCCTCTCAGAAACACCTTAAAACTGCTCTTATGCAAGAAACAGATGTACAGTGACAGTTGTTGTGCCATCCTACTATCGGTATTCTGATGAATAATCTAGTTACGGAAGGGGGATCAAGCATTTTGGAGGGAGATCAATAGTCTTCACCTTGATACTGGACCAACAGAAGTAAGGAACAAACCACAGTGAAAAGAATGGAAGGCATCAGCTGGAATAAACATTAAAGAACTCAACAATTCTAGCAGCATAAGTAGCTGATTGTCTGTTAGCTTCAACTTGAATCTGCTGGGAAACGTTTGCCTTCTAAAGTACCAGGCATCAGTTAACTGTTTAAAAAACTAAAAATTTTTGACTACACTGCCACTACGGAGCTGCAACATCACATTCACTTAAGAAAGCAACAGAGTTTAACACCTCAGCTGAAATGTGGTACAACCAAAAGTGCAGTGCTCCCTCAGTACTGTCCTGGAGCGAGATCTGAATCTTCCCCCTTCTGATACAGCAATATAAATGCTACCACTATACCATGGCTAACATCTGAAACATATAAACATACTGGCCTGTCAGTTTTTAGTATCACGATGGACAGGGACAGCTTTGTTAGATGTATAGAAAGCAGGAAGCCAAAGAACATAGACCTCTTAGAGAATGAAGATAGAGAAATAATAATGGGGAACCAGGAAATGGCAGAGGAATTGAATAACACTTCACGTCAGTATTTACAGAAGACACTAGTAGCATTCCAAAATTACTAACTAATCAAAGGAAATAAATAAAATAACTATCACTCGTGTGTGAAGGAAGCTAGTACTTTTAGAAACTTCTAAACCCATAACCACTTCCAACTAGAAGGACAAGAGCGGCAGAATACAGGGACACTACCCTTTGCAAGTTCTCTTCCAAGTTATTCACCACACTGACTTAGAAACATACCGTCATCCCTCAGTGTCACTAGGTGAAAATCCTGAAATTCCTTCTGTGATGGCAATGTGGTCTACCTAGAGCATATGGACTGCAGCAGGTCAAGGAGGCAGTTCACCACTATCTTCTCAAGAACTTCTAGGGATGGGCAATAAATGCTGGTTCAGCCAGCGATGTCCATGTAAACCAAACAAAAAAGGAGCTAAAGATTGCCAAGTTCCCCGGACCTGATGGGCTGTATCTCGGATACTACAGGAAATAGCTATAGAGATAATGAATGCACTGGTGGTAATTTTCCAGGAATCCTTAGATTCTAAAAAAGTTCCAGAGGATTGGAAAACTAACACTTTTATTTAACAAGGGGAAACAAAAATAAACAGGTAACAACATGCCAGTTAGCTTAACATCTGACACTGGAAAACCATTAAAGAGTCTATTATAAAAGATGAAATAGGTGAAAATTTAAAAGTGCATAATATAATCAAACAGAATCAGCATAGCTTTATGAAGGGGAAATCATGCCTGACAAATTTACTACAAATCTCTGAGGAGGTAAAGGGGGAAGCAGTGGATGTAAATAGCATTTCATAGAGTACCAGCCATTGGTTACTTCCTAAGGCAAGAGCCCATGCTGTGGATGGAAGTATGTTAGCATGAATAGAGGACTGGCTAACTAACTGGGAGAGTCAGGATAAGCGGGGTATTTTTTGGATGGCAACCTGTAACTGGTGGAACACCAGAGATATCAGTGCTAGGGCGACAATTATTTAAAATATATATTAACAACATGGATGATGAAAGTGAATGTACTAATGAAGAAGTTTGCAGATAATCAGAAAATAGTTGGGAAGGTAAGTGATTAGGATGATAGAAAGTCAAAAATCACACGAGACCAGGTTATAGTCCAACAGGTTTATTTGAAAACACAAAGTTTTCAGAGCTCTGCTCCTTCCTTGGGTGTAGTGTGGAAAAGGAGGTATACCGACACAGAATTTATAAGCAGAAAGGTAACAACCCTAAAAATGGTTCACTGACCATAGAAGACGCAGGTTTCCATTGATTAAAATGCACATCTCAGAATTTCTTTCAAGTCATTACCCCGAGATAATTAAAGAAATTCTGGGATTTGCATTTTAATCAATAGAAACCCAAGTCTCCTTTCTAACCGATTAAAGATTCAACACGAGGCGATTAGCAAACCATTTTTAGGGTTGTTACCTTTCCGCTTATAAAATCTGTGTCAGTATACCTCCTCTTCCACACTACACCCGAGGAAGGAGTAGAGCTCCGAAAACTGGTGTTTTCAAATAAACCTGTTGGACTATAACCTGGTGTTGTGAGATTTTTGACCTTGTACACACCAGTCCAAACACCAGCACCTCCACATGATGATACAAAGAGTTTGCAGTGGGATAGAGACAAGGTTAAGCGAGAGGGCAAAAACTTGACAGGTGGAATGTGGGAAAATTTGAGGTTATGCACTTTGGCAGGAAGAACAGGAGAGCTGGATATTATTTAACTGGAAAAAGATGCAGAAAGCAACAGAACAGACGAATTTGGGAGTCCTGGTTCATGGATCATAAAAGGCTAGCATCCAAGTTCAGCAGTAATAAGGAAGACAAATGGAACATTGAAATAATGGCCAAAGGGTATGGAGTATAAAAGTATATAAGGCACTAATCAGACCACAGCTGGAATAATGTGAACAGCTCTGGATCCCTTATCTGGGGAAAGATGTGCTGACATTCGAGGCAGTCCAGAGAAAGTTCACTAGACTGATACCTGATATGGAGGAAGTGTGTTACGAGGAGGGGTTGAGTAAGTTAAGCCTGTATTCATCGGAATACAGAAGAATGAGAGGCAACCTTTTTGAAATATGCAAGATTCTTAAGGGATTTGACCAGGTAGTTGCAGAAAGGCTGTTACCCCTTGTGGGAGACTCAACAACCAGAAGACATAATCCAGAATAAGGGCTCACACATTTAAGTCAGATGAGGAGGAATCTCTCAGAAGGTAGTGAATCTGTGGAATTCTTTACTCTGGAGGGCTGTTAAGGCTGTGTTGTTAAGTATATTCAAGGCTGAGATAGACAGATTTTTAATCAGTAAAGGAATCAAAGGTTATGGCCTACTTCTGTTCATAGTCTTACAATCTTAAGCATGGTTAAATTTCCCAATCCTAGGCACATATGGGTACCTCTAATACCAAGCTAGCCAATGATTAATCTATCCTCACTGTCCAAATGCAACGGTAATACTTTACAGGTGTTGGTACAGAGCTGAGCCTTCCTCTGAAGCATCTCCTCTGCATATCTGAATCAGGCATTAAACCCATATTCAATCATGTTCAAACGCAATCGCAGCAGTTTGGTGAGAATTCAAAACTCCTACATACTTTGCTGCACCTTCTCTGCGTACCTTACTAATTACTACTTCTTTCTATGTTTATCTAGCTTCCCTTCAAAGGCACTGTGGTATTTGCCTCAACCACACCTTGTATTATCAAGATTCACAGGGAGGGTAGGTCACAAGAGGGAATAATACCTTTCCCCTGAACCTATAACCATATTCATTACCAGGAAGGTTCTGGCGCAGCCATCATACATGACAAAACGATCCTTATGTAGCAGTGTGCTGTAATCAAACAATACGCATTAAAATAGAGTGTATTATCGGTGGCATGAAAGGATATCAGACACAGTCGCTGCCTTCTTCTTCTTTTCTGGTTTAAAGGTGTCACATTTCTTCTTGTTCCGTTTCCCGCGGACCTCCTCATTCCACCACTCTGACAAAAAAGAAAATTATTAAACTGAATGCAATTATCTGAATCAGTTCAGTGTGTTCAAAAGGGAAGTGCTGAAGGCAGCAGCCATTCAACCCATTTCACTCATTTGTCATGAAACCTACAGCCCTACCAGCTGGTAAGTGTCCCTTTTAGTTCTGGATTTTAACCTCGACTTAGTATCAGTTTCTAACAGTGCTGCATTAATATGTCAAAAATCTGTACATTTGCAATTCTACCCCAAAGTTCGAGTTGAACCAGTGGTGACTCAGGAACACCCTTTCTGATAGCATTTTAGTTAATTCCACAAGATTAGCTCTAATTCACCTGTTTCGAGGTTGAAGTGACAAGGTTTCTCCCACCTTACAGAGAACTCAGTCCCTAGGGTTCAGCCTCACAACCTTGTCTGCTTCTCACCTGGGCGAGGTACCAGAGGGTGATCACTGGAATCCATACTCCAACAACTACCAACATGTTCAGGATATCAGAAGAAATTTGTGTAGAATAGGAACAGGCTGTGGAACACTGACCAGAGGTTATGTCTATACTCTGCTTGTCCTCTTCCAATCGCTGAATTCGCTCCAACAACTCATTCCGCATGTTATCGAACAGCAGCAGCTTCTCACTCTGGACCCATGATCAAAACAGAACAGGCAGAAATTAGCTTTTAAGAAGCAAATTGCGTGCAAACAACCTCCTAATGTATCTGTTTACAAAAATTTGAATGTATGCCTCAAATGAACAAATCCATTATATAAAGCATGTTCTATGGATGGTCCACATCGCATGTGAACACATGCAGGTGACAGATGATTCAATGAGCCGACCTTGGGCATTGATGGATGACTGAATCTTTTCTGGGTCTGTCCTTTCTCCACGTTCATGTACATTGATTCAATGGCCCTGACCCATTGTGCTTCTCTAAAGCACTTTTCTAATGTTCCCTGATGTTTAAGGAATGACAAAAATGAGAAACAAAGTGGTTATGTACCAGAAGGTAGTGTGCACTTGCACAACTGTTTCCCAGCAAGGAGAATTGGAGAGTGGAAACTATCAAAGCTATTCTCAGCTATGCCTGAGATTTCTGACGAGTTTGACAAACCACTCCCGTGAACACAACAGAACAAGACAAAATTAAAATAAAATGTAAGAGGATACAATTTCGTTGTCTCATTTTCCCCACTGTCCTTACCTCCAGATGTTGTCGGGCTCCCTGCAGTTCACACTCGTACCTGTTTCTGATTACTTCCAAACACAAATCTTTATATACTCCTGTCAGATGCAGAATTGGGACAAGATCAAACTTTCCAATGAGCAATGTATTTAGCTTGCACAATAACATCAAATCAGTCTTTGACATAGCCATCCTCAGGGCACACCATCCAGCCCTGCCCACTCTTCAACAGCAGCATTTCACCTGATATAAATGTCACCACATGCTGCAAAGCTTCCAGCCCACACTATGTACTCCACTCTAAGGAGTTGTGATTTTTGGGCCTTGCTTTAGAATAGGCAGAATTCGGGGCACAGTGGAAATCAGTTTGATACTTACGCTATCCTTTAGTATACTTTTATCCCTTGCACCTCTCCCAAACACAATCTTTCCACATATCTATACATTAGAAATACAAACTTCCTGTTATCACAAATGATGGTCACAATCTGTCTGTCTGTCTGTCACTCACACGACTCCATAGATATTAAAATGAATATTTGTTAACTAAACATAGTCTTAAAATGCCCTCCCTCTCCCACAGGAGTACAGCACACAACTGCCACCTCCCATGTTCAACAGCTTGGAGATGTCAGTGATGCAAACATTACCTGCTACCTCCGTTCTGATTTTCATGTTCTTCTGCAGGACAGCCAGGGGCTCCAAGTACTCAGTTGCTTTCCCTGCGATCACCTCATCCAGTTTGGCTTCAACCTGACTCAATCTCTCTTTGTACAGTCTGCAAAAGAGAAGCTGCCAGTTTTATCCTCCATTCTCTATATACGTTCTTAGAGTAAATCCTCTGCCCAAATTTTCAAACTGTAGCAAGTATCTCTCTGCTGGTTTTCACCCTGCTTTCCTAAAGATGCTGACTCTTGGTGGGGTGTGAGTTCTACCTTCCAATACCCCAGCCAAATGGCCTACTTCGCATGGGAACTTAGATAGATAGCGCTGGCTGGCTATTCAATGGTGGGCAGCATCAGAGCCCAGTCTGACCTTGTCCACACCCAATATCTAAAGGGGTTTTCCACTCTTAAATCGTGATCCAGTGACTGCTGCACATATGTGTTTGCACCCTTGCCTCACAAGAATGGTCCTGCGGGCAATGAGCAAGACAGCATTGTGAAGCCTATGCTTAGTAGGAAGCAGCGCCTTCAGGAGAGGAGAATACCAGAAGAGATATATTCAAAAGAAGCTATCAGCATACTGTTCTTTCAGATCCGTGAACTGCTTCTCCAAATCTGACATTTCATCCAGACACTCAGTGCGGCGCCGCTCACAGTCCTCATCGTCCATTTCTGGAAAAAGGAACATGCACATGGTCAGATCAATCCAAATAACTCTCGATAAAAGTCCCATATTTGTTTAATTTTATCACCTTACTGAAATCACGGAATTCACAGTACAGATGTAGGCCTTACAACCCGATCAAGCTATTTCAGTGCTCATTATCCATGCCAGTCTCTCCTGCCTCACTTCATCACACCCTATCAGGCACATCTTTTTATCCCTTTCTCCTTCATATAGCTATCTAGCTTCTCAAAGTCTCAACATATTTCATGAAATTAATTAATGTAGTTACTGTTACATTTACATAAATTGTGAGCCAGCAGTTATTCTGTTTTGAATGGATTTGGTCAAGGGAGCAAGAGATCTTTAATATCAGCAAAACAGGGACGTGGTTTAACATCTCATTAATTAAAGTACAGCATTCCCTCAGCATGGCATTGGAATGTCAGCACAGATTTGTTCATCCCCTGGAGTGGGGCTCAAACACAATGTTCTGTGTATGAGAGGAGTGTGAAAGAAAAAAGCTGGCACACAATTCCATCGGTAGGAAAGGTGCTCATTTACATTCCACAAGGGTCTCTGGAGCCTGGTTATAGTGCCCATTTTGATATCCTTTGGTGATAGCTCACAACTCAAATTATCGTTTTATCTTTAAACATCCACTACTGACCATCCAATTCCCTTACTCTAAACTGCTTCATTAATGCCTTAAGTTCTCTGGAATTTGAACCTTTCACCAATGAGTGAAATTAAAAGAAAAACATACAGATGAATGCAGAATTTGTGCAACCTCAAGCGATAATAGTTTTGATTATTCACAATTCTTAGTAAAATTCCAAATCTTAAATATCGTGTGTCCACACAGGTTCCAGCAAAGGTACTTAAAAAGTAGTTGAAGTCAGATTTCTTTGCCAACCTGAGCTGTCTTCACCCTCCTCCTCAGATGCAGAAGTACTGCCACTCTCCTCATCTGAGCTCTCCTCATTCTCTGGAGAATCCTGCTCCATTTCCTCATCAGCCTTCTCCTCTTCCTTTTCTTTGTCTTTCTGCGGCTGCTGCCCAGGCATTGTCCTTCAAAGTAAAGTGCAATTATCATTGCGAGGCCACATGATAAAATCAGTACATTTGTATCCCTGCATTAGATATAGAAACAAGCATACTATAATAATATATAATGGCAGTCAATAGCCACCTACACTGCACCCAGTGTTATACAGTGACAGACCTGTTCCCACCTGCATTGAACCCAATGATGATATGGTGCTGGTGTGTAGAAGTCTATCACTATAACTTCCCAATCCAGTTACACAGGACAGGTCCATGCCCATCAGCACTGCACCCTCCAATCAGTGGAGCAAACCTGCACTCACCAGCACTGCTTCCTCCAGGTCACACTGGGATAGAAATGTACCCACAATACAAGAGACCTACATCTGTTATATAAAAAAGACCTATACCCAACGTGATGGAAGTTCAAAATTTTATGATTATTAGGTTCTTAAGTGGAGGAAAGTGGATTTTAGTTTTCAATTCTGCGAAGATCTAACTTTTCTGAAAAGGTCAACATAGGTCCACACATAAGGTAAAGAACTTTACTCACCAGCACTATGGTCATGCCCTCATGATACAGAGACAGACTAGTATTTACCAGGAATATGATCCCCATCACACTGGAACAAGCCTGCACTCACCACAAATGTGATCCTGTCGTACAAGGAGAGACCTGCACCATCAGCACCAATACCATTGGACAGGAACAGACCTGCACTCATCAACATTGTGACCCCATAATGCAGTGACAGAACTGTATTCACCAGCACTATGTACCCCATCATACAACAACAGCCCTGTAATCGTGAGCACCATGACTTCTGCCCTGCAGGAACAGGCCTGTATCCACCAGCACCATAACCAGTGCTGTATAGGGACAAACTTGTGCTCACCAGTGATTTGATTCCCAGTCATACAAGAATGAATCTGCACCCAGTAGCACCATACCCGTTATACGGAGCAGAAGTCCACCAATATTCTACACCAGTTACACAGAATGGACCTATAAGCACTTGTGCAGTACCCCAGTTATACAAAACAGACCTGTGCTCACTAATACTGCATCTTAAGGTCACACAATGTGAGAGAACGGTCTTTGTGGCGCAGTGGTAGTGCCTCTACCTCTGGCTAAAGGTTCAGGTTCAAGTCCCAGTCCCAACTGCCCCAGAGATGTGTCATAACATGTCCAAACAAGTAATTAAAATAACTACACAGTGACCATCTGAGGCCCACAGTACGATTATACAGTAACAGACCTGTATTCGCCAGTTTTGGTATCTTAATTTTGCAATGAATTGAAATACTTCCACACAAAGAATTTAGAAGCATACTACTTCAGACCTGCACAAGTTCATTATTTCTTTGTTCTTTTGTGAGATGTCGGCATCATTTATAGGGTTAGCATTTGTTGTCCTTCCCTATTTATCTTTTAACAGATAGCTCGTTAGGCCATTTCAGAGGGTCATTAGGAGTCAATCACATTGCTGTAGGCCGCAAGTAGGTCAGATTGGTTAAGGATGGTAGATTTCCCTCCTTGAACAACATTAGGGGATCAGGTAGTTTTTTGTGACAATTGTTTGTTGTTTCATTATCACTATCAATGCCTTAATGTGATTTGAACCCACATCCGTAGAACATTACCCTGGACCTCCAATTTACTGGTCCAGTGACATTAATATTACACCACCCTACCTCTAGTTATAAATGTTACAAGTGCACTGCTATGAATTAATAGCGTCTGATTACAAATCTCTGCCCCAACAGCAGGCACAATGTGAAGACTGTCCTTTACAGCTTGGGTATGTATTCTTTACCCGAGCATCATTACAGAACATTGAAATCCTGGCACAACTTCAATATTGTCACAGGTCAGAACTCAGTTTAAAAGCAATATTAACCATAAAACTGCAACATGATTTTGTTTGACAAAAAGAAAGATGTTCTCAATTTAAATTAACATCAAAGTTTTTTAAAAGTTAATAAATTAAATTAAATTAGTATATCCCAGTTAAATTAAGAATAGAAATGGATTTAAAATTAAATGGCTTAAATTGAAGATCCCAATCGGAGGAAGGATCAGGAACAGATTTAAGATAACTAACAAAAAATGAAATGGTGACAGAAGGAGAAACTTCACACAGCGAATGGTTAAGAATTTGGACTACGCTGCCTGAATGTGTAGTGGAGGTAGGTTTATTTGATGCAATCAAGAGAGAATTTGATTATTAACCAAAAAGGAAGAACTTACAAGCTATGGGGAGAAGGTAGAGGAGTAGCACTAGGTGAATTGTTCTTAGAGACCCTGCGCACATACAATGGGCTAAATTGTCTCCTTTAAGAATAGAGTTAAAAATCTTGTAATAAATTTAAAATCAAACTACTTTAAAAAAACTGGAATTTTAGATGGGCATGGGTAAATTAATTTCAAATGCCTATCTTGCATTATAAAAGTGCCTTAGAATCATACATCACGGAAACATCAAACTTTCCGATTCATGTACCTATGAAACACTTTAGGATGACCTGAGGTGATACAGGAATACAAGCCTTGCTTTTTTAATATGGTTTAAAAGGAAAAATTTTGAAAACTGTGAATGCACATTTCAAACAAAGTTCATTAAGAAATTAAATATTTTACAATTATACCAGAATGGAGGAATTATACCCATCAGGAAATGAGGAGGAAGCCTGAGGGGCAGCCTAAATGTTTAAACATGGGTATGGTCCTGATGGGCTGAATGGCCTGAAGCCCTACTGCAAACCCATCAATTCTTAATAATCTGAAGCAAGACTTTTAAGAATTGAAAAGAAATTTGCAAATATACACAAATTGCAGAGAGGAAGTTCAAATACTGTCATCTTAAAGTACGTGACTTTTCTAAATGTAAAAAAAGTGTGCAAAATCAAACGCAAACGTTTTAAAAGTTTAAAAACAAAGTTTAACAACACCAAGTGAACTTCTAAACGCAGGCAAATTCTGAAAAAGAAAACATCCATTAAGTAAACACGCAAAACATTTCCAAGTTAACAAAAAAAAAACTCATGGCAAAAATAAACCGATGCTTTAAGTTCGAGGCGCAATGATTCAGAATTTAACGTTAAGAAAAAGTACAAGGAATGGCAATTCCGGATTTTAAAAACAAACCGAAAAAACTTTTTTTAAAAATTGGCATAGATGCATGTGCACCAAAACAGGATAAACGAGACACGGGTAAGCAGAGAAACGAAAATGGGGGATACCAGTTGATAAACAGGATTTCAAAACTTACATACAGTATTTTTTGAAGGAAAAATATTAAATCTAATTTGAAAGTGAAAGGAGAGACTCACCGCTCCGAGCCCGCTCCGCGCCAGGCTCCTCAAAGGGTCCAGTTTCTAACCAGGGAAAGGGCTAAAAGTGGTGAAGAGAAAATGTAAAAAGAATGTTTTCTTTTGACAGTGGTCTGGCCCTATAGAAGTGTTTTATTTTAAAATCTGCGATTAATTTTGTTTTGAAATAAAACGGCCGGGGACAGCCTCGCTTTAAGAGTAACGGTCACTGGGCTCTGGAAGGTTCCAGGAGGTTGTTGGCTCGCGGTCGCGGGTACCTGGCCGCCAGTCGCCAAGTGGCGTTCGGAGGCATAGGGTGGTGCGCAGCCTTGGGGCTGTTTACTTGCAAGTTTTTAAGTGTTTATTTCATCTAATTTCACGATTTTTGCTCTTGGGAACTTTGGGGAGGGAAAGGAAAGGAAAGGAAGGGGGCGGTAGAGGAAAGGCTTAGTTTCTTTCTCTCCGGGAGCTTTGCAGGAACTTTCAGAACGGGAAATGCGTTGACCGATGAGGGGCCGATCGATCGACCAAGATTGATTGATGGACGGTCGTCCCGGCCAATTGGAGTGCCGTAATCAGGTAAGGAGGCGGGCCGTCCTTGCCCGGCTCTTATTTCAATGGTCAATGGGGTGGGGGGGGCGGGGGTGAGAGGATGAGGCGGGGCTTCGGCAGGCGACGGCTCAAGATGAGATGCTTTTGGCCTCTCGCTCTCCTCGCCTTGAAGCTGCTGCCACCTACAGGGGAGGCTGGCTGCTTGGGAGGACTGCAGCCTTGGACTCTTCAAAATCCGAACAGTGTGGAAGCGGGTGGGAGCGAGTTGCTGGAACCTGTACTGAAAACAAAAGTAAAAACCAAAAGAACTGCGGATGCTGTAAATCAGGAACAAAAACAAAGTTGCTGGAAAAGCTCAGCAGGTCTGGCAGCATCTGTGAAGGAGAAAACAGAGTTAACTCAGAGTTCTGAGGAAGGGTCACCGGACCCGAAACATTAACTCTGATTTCTCCTTCACAGATGCTGCCAGACCTGCTGAGCTTTTCCTGAAAACAAAAGTGTTGGAGATCACAGCGGGTCAGGCAGCATCTGTGGAGAGAAAGCAAGCTAACGTTTCGGGACTAGATGAGTCTTCATCAGCTCTGATGCTGCCTGACCACTGTGAACTCCAGAACTTTTTTGTTTTCAGTGTGGAAACAGGCCATCGAGTACACACACCAACGCTACAAGAGCATCCCACCCAGACACTCCCCCCACTCACCCTATCCCTGTAACCCTGTATTTCCCATGGCTAACCCACCTAGCCTGCATACCCCTGGAGACTATGTGCAATTTAGCATGGCAAATCGACCCTAACCTGCGCATCTTGGGACTGAGGGAGGAAACCGGAGCACCCGGAGCAAACCCTCACAGACACGAAGAGAAGGTGCAAACTCCACACAGCCAGTTGCCCAAGGGTAGAATCAAACCCGGGTCCCCGCCGCTGTGAGGCAGCAGTGCCTCTGAGTTGCCCGATTCGGTGATTCTGTAAGAAGACACCACACTTCCGGAATGACATAATGGGCCGAATGATACCTTGACTTTTATCAGCACAGATTACAAAATTAGGTCTAAAATTTTTTCCACAGACTTAGGTTAGGGGACAATCTGATCAAAGTCTTAAAGATATTAAATAAAAACCGAAAGAACTGCAGATGCTGGAAATCAAAAACAAAAACAGAAATTGCTGGAGAAAGTTTGGTTTCTCTCAACAGATGCTGCCAGACCTACTCAGCCCTTCCAGTAATTTCTGTTTTTCTTTCTTAACGATATTACTGGAGAAACTCAGCAGGTTCTGGCAACATCTGTGGAGAGAAAACAGAGTTAACCTTAAGAGTCCATTGGCCTAGAAACTTCAACTCTGTTTTTTGTCCTCAGATGCTGCCAGACCTGCTATATTTCTCCAGCAATTTCTGTTTTTGTTTTGTTTCAGATCTCCAGCACCCAGCATACTTTGTTTTATTTTGAAACATAATCACTGTTGTGATAGTAGGCAATTTGTGCGCAGCAAGCTGCTGCAAACAGGAATATGAATAATGATTTTTTTTTATAACTTTGTGATGTTACCCCCAGGACATGTGGGGTTAGGAAACACCACTTTGAACAGAAATACAAGTTGCCTGCAGAGGACAGTGAAAACCAATCCAATACAATAAATACAGGATTAAAATACAAAAAGATCGTACTTACCACTTCGATCAAATAGATGCAACCCTTTAACACCAACAAGGTTTCACCTAAATCGATCTCAAACTAACCTTTCTAGTGGTTTAATACTACCTTAAATACATTACTGCTTATGGGAACCTGAACTTGGTTTTGTGTCTGCACGTCAACAGGTTTCAATGTTCCCACTAGGAACCTAATCTTCTAATCGCTCAATTACCTAATGGTTACTGTGCTGTGATCACAGAAAGATAGGATTACCCGAGCAGACGAAATGCCTTCTGACGTGGGTGTACAAGGACAGTTATACAGAACTGCTGACAAGAATTACTTTGAATCCAAAAGAACTCTTTAACTTAAAAGCCTGTGGAACATACTTTTCTCACAATGTAACTTAGCAACATCCTTGGTAACTTTCAGGACATCTTATACCTCCTTCTCATTTCACCGAAGAAGACTATAGGTCTGATTAGGGTTGTTAAAAAATATGAATGGGGGTTTACTAAGGAGGAACATGTTGGTCATAGTGTGGGGGTCTTCATAGTGTGTGACCCTACCTCTGCGTCAGTGTCAAGTCTCCTCCAGCACCTGATGGCCACATACATAGAACATAGAACATCGAACAGTACAGCACAGTACAGGCCCTTCAGCCCACGATGTTGTGCCAAACTTTTACCCTAAACCTAAGGTCTATCTAACCTCCACCGCTACCTTATGTTATCATACATATGCCTATCTAATAGCCGCTTAAATGCCCCTAATGAGGCCGACTCCACTACCCTCTCCGGCGATGCATTCCACGCCCCTACCACTCTCTGAGTAAAGAACCTACCTCTGACGTCTCCCCGATATCTACCTCCTTTCACTTTAAAACTATGTCCCCTCGTAAAAGCTACCTCCACCCTAGGAAAAAGTCTCTGGCTGTCCACTCTATCTATACCTCTGATCATTTTGTACACCTCTATCAAGTCAACTCTCATCCTTCGTGGTTCTAAAGAGAAAAGCCCTAGCTCTCTCAACCTTTCCTCATAAGACCTTCCCTCCATTCCAGGTAACATCCTGGTAAATCTCCTCTGCACCTTTTCTAACGCTTCCACATCTTTCCTATAATGAGGTGACCAGAACTGGACACAATACTCCAGATGTGGCCGAACCAGGCTTTTGTATAGCTGGAGCATAACTTCACGGCTCTTGAACTCAATCCCTCTATTAATGAAAGCTAACACACCATACGCCTTCTTAACAACTCTATCCACCTGGGTGGCAGCTCTCAGGGAACTGTGAATATGAACCCCAAGATCCCTCTGCTCCTCCACACTGCCAAGAATCTTTCCGTTAACCCTGTATTCTGCTTTCAAGTTTGTCCTTCCAAAATGAATCACCTCACATTTTTCAGGGTTAAACTCCATCTGCCACTTCTCAGCCCAGCTCTGCATTCTATCAATGTCCCTTTGTAACCTAGAACAGCCCTCCGCACTGTCCATGTGACCCACCTTCGTATCATCCGCGAACTTGCTAATCCACCCTTCCACTCCTTCATCCAAATCATTTACAAAAATCACAAATAGCAGAGGACCCAGAACAGATACTTGTGGTACACCACTCGTAACTGAACACCATGTTGAATATTTTCCGTCCACTACCACCCTTTGTCTTCTAAGGGTCAGCCAATTCTGAATCCAATCTGCCACATTTCCCCCTATCCCATGCCTCCTTACCTTCTGCATGAGCCTACCATGGGGAACCTTATTAAACACCTTACTTAAATCCATGTATACCTCATCCACTGCTGCACCTTCATCCACGTGTTTGGTCACCTCTTCAAAGAATTCAATAAGGTTTGTGAGACATGATCTACCCCTCACAAATCCATGCTGACTATCATGAATCAAACTGTGCCTTTCCAAGTGATCATAAATCCTGTCTCTCAGAGCCCTTTCCAATAATTTGCCCACCACTGACATAAGACTAACTGGCCTGTAATTTCCGGGGTTATCCCTGTTCCCTTTTTTAAACAAGGGAATGAAGTTTGCCTCTTTCCAATCTTCCAGCACTATACCCGTGGACAGTAAGGACGAAAAGATCATCGCCAGAGGCCCTGCGATCTCGTCCCTCGCTTCCCATAGAATCCTTGGATAAATCCCATCAGGCCCGGGGGACTTATCTATCTTCAACTTCCTCAGAATTCCTAGCACACCTTCTTTACTAACATCAACCTCCTCTAGCCTACCTGCCTGTTTCACAACATTCTCCTCTACAGCTAGGTACCTCTCAGTTGTGAATACTGAGGAAAAGTATTCATTAAGGACCTCTCCTATCTCTTTAGGCTCTGTGCACAAATTCTCTTTACAATTCTTGATCGGCCCTACCCTTTCTCTGGTCATTCTCTTGTTCTGCACATACGTGTAAAAAGCCTTGGAGTTTTCCTTGATCCTATCCGCCAAGGTTTTCTCATGCCCCCTTATAGCTCTCCTAAGCCCTTTCTTCAGCTCCTTCCTGGCTAACTTGTATCCCTCTAGAGCCTTTTCCGTTCCTCTTTTCCTAAACCTTACATAAGCCTCCTTCCTCCTCTTAACCAGTCGTTTGACCTCTCTCGAGAACCATGGCTCCCTTACTCGACCGCATCTTCTCTGCCTGCTAGGGACAAACATATTGAGGACATGCAGTATGCATTCCTTAAACAATCTCCTCATTTCTGTGGTCCTCTTCCCTGACAGCATCTGTTCCCAATTTATGTTACCCAGTTCTTGCCTAACTGAATTTTAATTACCCTTACCCCAATTGTAAACTTTACCCTGCCGTATGTACCTATCCTTATCCATGACTATCGTGAAAGAAACAGAGTTATGATCGCTACCGCCAAAATGCTCTCCTACCAACAGGTCTAACACTTGGCCCGGTTCGTTGCCAAGCACCAAATCCAAAGTGGCCTCTCCTCGTGTTGGTCTATCTACATACTGTGTCAGGAATCCTTCCTGAACGCACTGGACAAAATCTGCTCCATCTAAACTGTTACAACTAAAATGTTTCCAATCAATATTTGGAAAGTTGAAGTCACATGATCCGGTTCATCAGGTTGATCAGCTCGCAAATATTTCACTACTTCCATACTATTCCCTAAAGGAAAAATAGTGTGTGAGAAAATATGCTAAGATGACATTGATAGATTATTCTATCATTTGGATGGATAAGTGTTCAGTTTGAAGCCAGTTTTAAACCGTTTAGTTTGAAGTCATCTCACATGTGATGTTAAAGCAAATCTTAATTTGCACATTCAACCGTAAATATTATATGTGGAGTCGCTGTGAGAGGGGTATTTTGAGATCATTAACTTTGCAATGTACTTGGTTCTCCCTGAAAGGACTTGACTCAGTGCT